ATTCACTAAGCAAACAAGCAAAATTTGCTATTTTGAGGCACTGGCGGTGAATGAATCGCATCAATGACCGGCCTAACACTTAGGCGCTGCTTGCGAAGAAGAGGAAGAATGAGTGACCTTTTCGTCGTAGTGGTCTCTCTCAATCACTTCGGGCGCCATCCAGAACGGTGTCCCAACAAATGTCTCCGCTTTATTGTTCGTTGTTGTTGTCTGCGCGGATACGCCAAAATCGGCTATTTTAATTGCTGCGTCATGTTCACTGAGAAGCACATTCGCTGCTAGACAACATAACTGTCATTAACCAACTGTTGGCAGCCACCACTGATAACAGACCACCAACAAGCATTCGATGGAGAAACACGGCTCTGGCTCCTTGGCTTACCATCTGTCACGCAGCATGCACCAGTGGTGAAGATGTTGGTGCGCAGTAAATGCGAGTGCTTTGATTCGATTAAATACGTTAGTTGTTAATGGGTTACATGTACGGTTAAGCCTTCGCCTTTATCAGTTTAAATTCCCTCTCGTACTTCTGTTGTTGCTATCTCTGGAACACGCAACGAGATGCAACAAACGTTTGAACTGGCCATCAAACCGACCAGCACGCGATGCAAAATTGGTCAAAGCAGCTAGAAAAGTTGCGGTTTGCATAGCTGGACGATTAAACTATACCAGTAATTTTACATAATTCTTCCCCCAATCAAAAGGCCCATCACCGAATAACCGAACCTCTAAAATCAAACAATTCATCCTCTTTTCTCATTTTACTCAAATGTTATTACAGCCATTTGCAACTACCATCCGCACAAGTGCCAAATTTAAAAACACATAAAAACCACAATATGATATTAATTAATCACTGAAGACAGCAATTCAACAAACTAAAATAAGGTTTCAGTTCGAGGTATGAAAGAACCATCAACAATTAAAGCTAGAAGAGAATCATTAAAAAGGCGAAGATTTAAAAAAAATTTTTCCTTTTTTTTTCGGCGACAAGGATTTTTATAAAGCAATTTTTGAATTTTATGTGATTTATTTTGCTTCTGCTGTTATTCCCTTTTGTTTTCCAGAAATCCTGGGGAATTTGAAAAAGCAGCAAAAAATCATATTTTGACATCAATGTGGATGGGTGCAATGGAAGATCTGTTTGAACAGCTGAACAAGCAAATAACAAGAGTGAGCAATAAGCGCATAAAAAATCCAACAATGAAAACGCAAACCTTTTATATCACGATGAATCTTTCGTTCTGAATGCAGATATTCCAAGCCTTTAAGTATTTCTCGTAGGATCACAGCG